CAAACGGGAAAGTTAAGGTAGAAGCAGGTAAATTTTTTATTAGGACTGTTGAAAAAAAAAAAAAAAAAACAAGCCGGTATTTGGGCAGTCAAATGTTAGCGCTAATGCTCTGCCCGGTTGCAATTTGCGGAAGAAGAAGGGGAACATGTTGCCATCGTCACTTGTGGTAGGTGCATAACGGAGCTCCCACTGAACAGCATGGCCAGACCGGGGCCAAATACTGCATCCAATGCCAACAGAGGTCAGTTTGACGGGAAATGCAGTACCTAGGTGCTCTTTGGGACTGAGTCTGCTAATGTTAGTTGCATAAGCTAACTAACTAACTAATGGCATCTAACATTACCATTAGCTAATTTTAGCAACAAGTCCATCAGGAAACAACATAAATCATCCCATGTTCTGTCTGACCTGTTTGGTTGCACGCTAATGGCATGTTGCATTTTATTGCTGTGGATATTTCAGGTTGAGCTCATTTTTACTACTTTATATACTGATGGGTAGTTTATTCTACAGCAGTGCATCATGTTCTATAAGATTGTCACATGTTTGTAGTGTGGCTGTCCTGTGAGAACCACGTATCTCTAAAAAGTCCAAAAAACCTGCTTGTTTTCAGCTTGGTGATGATTAATTTTCCAGCTAATCCAAGAGGGTTTTAATAGCATAACTAGCTCCACCCACAAAAGGAACACTTCATCTTTCAGTTTATCACAAACATTCCAAATCAACACATCTGGAGATGCTTTTTACTGGACAGGAAAGGTATAAAGTAACTAATGCTTTCCAACAAATTTAGTGGAGTAAAATACGACATTTCCCCCTGAGATGTAGTGTTATCTTAAAGTATAAAGTTATATAAAATATAAATACAAGAACCTCAAATTGGTACATAATGCCATAATGGCCCTAATGATTACTGAGTTTCTCACACCAAAGTGTTATTAACCATCCTTTTAGTTTTTTTTCCATTTATGTTAGTTAGCAGTCTGTGTTACTGACTACCATAACCTAGCCAAACAAGGTTAGGCTATTAGTAAATAACTGATAAAATACAGAACTTAATAAAGCAATAAAGTGCAGCCAGTGCCAAAGTTGAAAGAACATACATTGTATAAAGCACTATCAGTTCATGAGTTTGATGAGAATAAAAATGATGCGAGTCTATTGAACGTGTGTGTGTATTAAATTGAATATATCAACTGGTATTTGATAAGTGAATGAAATAGGAAGAGGGGTTGATAGTACATCCAGCAGGTGGTGGTATACACTGCAAAATACTTTTACTCTAAGGAGCCATTACTGCATAATGTGGAGCTGATGGACTATGTTTTCTTATTTTGAAGGACAGTAGTATTATACTGTATGTGTTTTGTGTTTACAGTGAGAAGATAAAAGGTCAGACTCTGGGAGAGCCTATCACACTGCAAAGTCAATCATTTTGCCTCCTTGGACTGTTCATTTCAAGACATTTACACATAGATTGGACATACAGGTATTCATATGACACTTTTACAGACGTAAAAACAAAACACATAAAACAGGATGTAACAGAGTGAATTGGAACACAGCAGCTTCAATAAAGAGGCCACAGCAGTCAGTGTGGGTTAACTGCCATAACTGGCCATTTAGTGTTTACAAAAAATTGTTAATAAGATAAGAAAAGATGTTCCTTTATTGATCCTCCGTAGGAGAAATTTAAGTTAGACACAGCAGCATAGGGGAATGTAGTGCAAAGAGTACAATAAAAATCACAACATAAGAATGTTACAAAATATAATAGAAAATATAAGATAAATGAAAAATATAAATACACCATATATGCAGTAAAGTGGTGTGCAAAATATTTTGAGCAGTGTATAACTAAAAAACTAAGCTGTACATAGATAAGATAATAGTTTGTGTGTTTAACCAGTCTCAGTCAGTCAGTGGGGGTGGGAGGTACTGGGAGCTGTGGCGTTATGGAGTCTGATGGCCGATGGTACAAACAAGCCTCCAAACCGCTTTGAGGCACGAGGCTGAATCAGTCTGTGGCTGAAAGCGCTCCTAAACAGCCTCAGCTCAAACCCAAAACATAATTCAAATAAAACACCTAATAATAAATAATAGAAATGTGCCAACACAAACCAGACCACCATCAAAAGTGAGTGAACTCCCAGTTGAGTTCACTCACTTTTGATGGTGCACCAGCACTGAAGCACTAGAAAAAAAGGTGAGTCTTTAAAAGAATTAAAACCCTAAACTATATAAAATCAACTATACAAAAAAACCACTAAGCTTTTAAAACTAAAATACACAATGTTAAAAATAATGCAAAAATAGTCAGTGCTCTGCCTGTTTTCCATATTTTTACCTACAATAGAGTTATGGCAGACCCACTGTTAAAATAGAACACAAGAGCTCAGGTGCTTGTACCTTTACAGTGCCCAAACAATAACAATCCTAAAATGAACATAACAGCATTACTATTAAAAAACAAAGGCTTGGCTTACCAGAGGCAGAACCGTATAAAATAGTCCAGGCACATGAAAGGAGCACACAAAGCAGCACAGTCTGCAGTCTCTACACCTGCTGACCACGAGCCTACCTATCACTCTGTGGCTCTCCACTGATTGGCCACTCCCCAAACAGGTGTTCTAGGGTTCCTGTGCTACAACGATAATTCTACATATCTCATTATATCCTCTGGTTTCAGATCTCAGGTAGCACACTTATTTTGGATAGACTGATGTATAAAATAATTCAGCCTATTGCGTTTGAATGGAGGGACTAAATCGCCTGTTGTGAAGGTTTTTTTTGTTTGTGTTCTTGTGCAAGGAGTCAGAACAGATACTTTTAGCAAGCAGGCACATGCTCTTGTTGTGAACTGCTTGAAAGAAGTTTATCACAGGTTGGCCAATAATCTTTCAAATGTTGGATTTGATTATAGTGTTTAGTTTTAAAGATGCCCTACTGACATGCATTAAGATACAAATAGTCTGCTTGGAACAATAATGTGTCTGATGTTTTTCTGCAAAATTTCTACATTCCACATTCAAATTAAAAAGGCATCTACTCCTTCTACCTCAATAAACAATCTCTGAATATGCAAATGTTCATCTCTAAAGGTTTCCTGCTGGACACAGGTTCCTCAGTCCATTCTCAGTGTATGAACACTGGTGGCTTCAAGTTTCTACATCACACCAGCAGTCAAACCACCTGACCACACCCCAGGTGGGATAGATTTCTACAACCTGAAATTAAATGATCACATAATTCTACAAAAAGTGAGCCTGTCTGTCAGCAAACACATGACTGTGAAAATGATAAAAGCCCAGCTACTTAGTGATTAACAAGCCTTTTTAACATATAATTATACAGTATATGGTTTATGAAGCACCACAGTAAGAGCACTCAGAGCCTTCTGCATGTTCGGGTAACCTTCAAAGTGTTCCTACCAATATACGATACTCCCTAATGAGGCACACAGTTGAGTCGAGCACTGAAAAGAAGCTCACCTTTGAGGGTCAGTGTACTTTGTGGGCTACAGTTTTTTTCGTTTTGACGTGAGAAAACCATTTATAAATATGGGAAAGAAAATAGGTAATTTCTTTGTTTTCACTTTTCATTTTCAAAACAAAAAAAAAATTTTTTTTTTTTTTTTTTTTAAATTAAAAAAAAAAAAAATTTTTCTTATTTCAAAACAAAAATCTGTTTGCGGCACTGACCATTGAGTCACCTACGTAGAGTAAGTCATCAGTTCCAATGCCAACTGTCATTGTAACAGCTGGTCTCTGCTGAAGATACAGCAGATAATATCTCTCAATACCAGCTGCTAAAAGTGAATGGGCTTTTGGTTAACAACAGACCTTTGGCTAATCTGATTTATGACATCGCATCACATTTTACGGAGAGGGTGCAGTCACTCTATTAGTGTGTTTAAGGCAGAGTTGAAAAGGTCAGCTGTCGACACCACATTTCGTTAAGTTCTGCCTACAGGTAGAGAAACCTGCTTTGTATATTCCCATGACACCTTCACACCAAGGAGTCTAAATCTGGAGACAGATTCGTGGGGACTTCTAAGTGAGGGGCAAGCGGCTCCATTGACCCTGTCATTTATTTAAGTGTTTTTTTGGTTGTTTTTGTTTTTTACTGTATATTGATTAATCTTTTTCATTCATATGCATACATTTGTTGTAGTAGGCCTTTGGTAGGGGTTAAATTTTTCACTTGTACTCTGGGGTGGGTTGTATAGTATATTCAGTCTAAACACTGAGGTTATTTCTTGTTTTTCGATTTTTATTTTTTGTATGATTAGCCTTCCTTCCTTGGCTGAGTTTTTTTGTCTCCCTCCAATGGGCTGCATTCATGCTTTTCTCTGTATTGACAGTCTTAATGTGTATATAACCAGGGTTGTGTCTGAAATCACTCCTTCACTACTCCCTATATGACAGACACTTACTGGTTCACTCTATAGTGAGCTTAAATTGAGACCGAACACTTATGAATCATTGTCATCACTGATTGGCACTCTTCCAACTATTAGAATCACATTCAATCTGGCAAGATAGTCTTAAAACCTATAGAAAGGCCCTCCGTAATGCCAGAGCAGCCTATTATTCAACACTAATAGAAGAAAATAAGAACAACCCTAGGTTCCTCTTCAGCACTGTAGACAGGCTGACAGAGAGTCACAGCTCTATTGAGCCATGTATCCCCATAACCCTCAGTAGTAACGACTTTATGAGCTTCTTCTTTGATAAAATTATTACTATTAGAGACAACATTTAAAAAAAATGTAAAATCAGATATACTCTTAGACTGTCTGCTATTGATCTGCATCAATTAACTTTAATCAACAAAGCCATCAACCTGTCTCTTAGACCCCATCCCAACAAGCTTGCTTAAAGAAGTCTTACCCTTAGTTGGCACTTCTTTACTGGATATGATCGATCTTTCTTTATTGTCAGGATATGTACCACAGTCCTTTAAAGTAGCTGTAACTAAACCCCTTCTTAAAAAGCCCACTCATGACCCAGGGGTTTTAGCCAACTATAGACCAATTTCTAACCTCCCCTTCCTCTCTAAAATTCTCGAGAAAGTAGTCGCCAAACAGTTGTGTGACTTTCTACATAGCAACAGCTTATTTGATCAGTTTGTACATGTTAACGATGACTCCTCCATAAACACTAAAGTCAGTGATGGAGTTCCACAAAGTTCTGTGCTTGGATCAATTCTTTTCACCTTATATATGCTTCCCTTAGGCAATATTCTAGGAATCACTCCTTTAACTTTCATTGTTATGCAGATGATACCCAGTTATATCTCGATCAATTATCTAAATCTTCTGGACATAAAAACCTGGATGAGCTGCAATTTTCTGATGTTAAACTCAGACAAAACTCAATTCTTGTACTTGGCCCCAAACACCTCAGAAACTCACTGTCTAAAGATATAGTTACTCTAGATGGTATTACCTTGGCCTCCAGCAACACAGTCAGGAATCTCGGAGTTATCTTTGATCAGGATATGTCCTTTAACTCCCACATAAAGCAAACCTCCAGGACTGCCTTTTTTCACTTAAGTAATATTGCAAAAATCAGACACATCCTGTCACAGACAGATGCAGAAAATGTAGTCATTTTTTTACTGGATTACTGCAATTCCTTACGAGTACTGACAGGAACTAGAAAAAGAGATCATATTTCTCCTGTATTAGCTTCTCTGCACTGGCTCCCTGTAAAATATAGAATATAATTTAAAATCCTCCTCCTCACCTACAAAGCTCTTCATGGTCAGGCCCCTTCATATCTTAAAGAAGTCATAGTACCCTATTACCCCACTAGAACACTGCGCTCTCTGAATGCAGGGCTACTTGTGGTTCCAATAGTCTCTAAAAGTAGAACAGGAGCCAGAGCCTTCAGTTACCAAGCTCCTCTCTTGTGGAACCAGATTCCAGTTTGGTTTGGGAGGCAGACACCATCTCCACATTTAGGAGTAGGCTTAAGATGTTCCTCTTGATAAAGCTTATAGTTAGTTATGCTGCTATAGGCCTAGACTGCCGGGGGATTTCCCATGATGCACTGAGCTCCTTTATTCCTCTCCCTCTCTTTCTGCAAACAGTCCTGTCCCATTAATGCATGTTACTAACTTCACCCCCCAGAGTTCTTGTGCTTTCTTGTCTCACAGGTTCTCATGGATCCTGGTGGTGCCTGCTACCATGGTCCTGCTTGACCCCCACTGCTAATATTACTGATATTATTATTATTATTACAGTTACTATTACTGCTATTATTGTCCATCGTCCCCCATCCTTGTCGCTGTTGTCGTTATCATCATCATCAGTAGTCACGTTTTTCCTTTCCGCCGTTGTTAAGTACTCATGGTGGGAACTGTTGGGTCTTTTATTTTATAAGGAGTATGATCTAGACCTGCTTTATTTGAAAAGTGTCCTGAGATAACCTTTGTTATGAATTGGCGCTATAAAAATAAAATTGAATTGAATTGAATTGTTTGGTGGAGTATCACACAGTAGTCATTTTATTATTAAAATATGACACCTTGCATTTTGGGATATCTAGCAGAAAATACTTGGGATCACTTTAGGCCACTATATAAGTTACATAAATTTGTACTGACTATATCAATTTTAATAAATAGGGAGTGATACTGGACACAGCCCAGAAAGTTTGAAGCCGTGCAGACACTGGGAGAAGGACCTGAGGCTGTGGGGCACGACCATTATTAATCACCTGTACTGGGCTGCAGCGTCCACTCCTTATCGAGATCCAGATGTGATGGTGGCCAAGTGGCAAAGCATGGTCAATTCCCGCATTTCTATGCTGTGCACATTGAACTCTGGTTGGAGATGCATGGGACAAGGAATGGTTAAAGCCAGGTACAAACAACAGTTTGTAGCTGAATATTATTAGCGGCACAGTGGTTAGCTCTGTCACCTCACAGCTTGAAGGTCCTGGCTGGGCAGAGTGTCTTTGTGGAGGTTGCATGGGTTTTAGCTTGGTGTATCTAATCAACTGGGAAGTATTTCCTGTCAAGCTAAGCGAGTTGTGTCATTCTTGTGAATTTAACCAGAGCACCATGTTTTTTATCAACTATCTGTAGTTTATTAATTTAGGTAGTAATACAGTACAATTTGTTGGTACAACAGTGGTTTTACTGTATTAGTGTAATCAATTAATTTTGGTTATCAAAAGATAATAGAAAATTACTTTAATATTAAAGTTCCTCGAGGCACCACCCTTAAATAAGGTAAACGATAGCCAATAACTTATTGATCAGTCTCATAAAAAAACATTAAACTATTAATTCAGAAATCCAATTAATAATCAAATGAATAACTATAACCAAAATCACTATTAATAGTTAAAGTGGAAGGCTTTTGAGTTCTGCATAGAAGAGGTTGGTATCACCCACTCTTGTACAAAATGGTAAAGGCCAGCATGTTTAAACACAAACATTTATTAAAGGGATAATAAATGCAAATAGAGGAAGAAGGTGTGTCTGTGTGTGTATGGGTGGGTTGCACGCCAGAAAAGGTGTGTGTCCTTTTTCCTCTGACCAGATGTTTCAGCTGAGTATGAAACGTGTTGGTGAGAGACACAGAGCATAGAGGAGCGGGAGGGTTTGAGTTCTCTCTCTCCTCGTGAGTGCTGAGGTTTAGGCTGAATATGTGTGTATGTGATCGTAGATTAACGGTGCCGTTAAAATGGAGTTAGTTGCATGCAAGACGGTGTCTGTGTGAGGCATAACATTAAACTAACATCACCTTAACACTGTCTCAGAGACTAGTTACTATAGTAACCTGAGTTAATCAAATCAACAACACAAAACAAAATCCTGGGTTGTGGTTCTGAAGTCCAAACAGTCTCTGCTGTGCGATGTCCGCTGGTGCAGGTCGCAATAGGAAAGGAGTTTCGCTCGTTGCTCTGCCGAGTTAGCGACTCGGCGTTAACGTCGCGTTGCTCTGGTAAAGTCAGCTGGCAGACTCTCTTTAAAGCTGAAGATATTGACTCCTGTTAGCGGTGCACTGACCAGGGATCGCAGGAAAAGGCATGCTCTTATGCCATGGTATAATCCTTTTTTTTGCGTTAGGGGTGGGCTGCCCCCACACGCTTCATCTCCCCCCCCCACTTTTTATTTAAAAAAAAAAAACTAAACAAAAGGGGGGAAAAAACAAAGTGGGGGGACGGGAAAAAAAACAAAAGCGCCGGGAAGGGGGGCCAAAAAAAAAAAAAAAAGAAAACTACCCGCACGGAGTGGAGAAGGCCATTTTTTCCTTGGACTCTGGAGACAAGGGAATCTGCCAATAGCCCTTGGTTGAATCCAGTGTCGAGTAGTTTTCTTGTCTTTCCATGTTATTGCTTTTGCAGGTTGCCTGTCCAGTATGTCAGATGGAATACCCACTAAATTATTTAAGTCCATGCCAGTTCATGCTCTCCATAAGAGAGAAACATTAGATTCCTCCTCACGCCCAGTTGAGTCTCAGTGTGGTGCTGTATGAGATTTGTGTGTCCTGGCAGGGTGGAGAACACATCAGCATAGCGCTGTTGCAACATAGCAACGTCTGCTCTCTGGGACGTTGTGAGATGGTCATCACAATGGAGCGAGGCAGGATTTGTGGAATTTGGTACCTCAGGCCCCAACTCATCTCTCTTATTCACTGTGGTCACCAGAGAAACAGACTCTCCATGCTTTGAGGAGATTAAGATGGTAAATCTGTGTTGTCCCTTCCCTGTCAGAATGCACAACCCCATAGTTGACATCACCCACTCGCCATGTGACCACAAAGGGTCTTTGCCACTTGGCGAGTAATTTGGAGCTGGAAGGAGGGAGTAATACAAGCACTTCATTTCCCTTTGCAAATTGTCTCAGTCTAGTTCCTCTGTTGTACAGGTGCTGTTGACGCTCCTGGGCCCTGAGCAAATTCTCCCGTGATAACTATCCCAATGTGTGGAGTTTTGCTCTCAAGTCCAGGAAGTACTGAACTTACATTTTACTTGGGCTCAGTCCTTCCTCCCGGCTTTATTTAACCAGGTCCAGAACCCCCCATAGTGTCCTGCCAAACAGCAGTTCAAAGGGAGAAAATCCCATGGAGGCCTGGGGTACCTCGTGCACTGCAAACAGACGATCTAGCCACCTATCCCAATTGTGGGCGTCATCATGAACAAATTTACGGATCATGGACCAAACTGACCTGTTGCCCAATAATCCATACAGTTCCTGAAGTGTGGAACCTCGATGAGTGGTAATGGATGCAAAGGCACTCTTGGGATGATAGATATATAGATAATAGAATCAGGCCTTTATCCGGTTTAGTGTTTTGTCATACCCCATGTGCCCTGCCATTGGGTTATAAAGAGCCCTCTAGAAAACAGTTTCCTGGCGGCTTTCCAGTACCAACAACTGGTTAATTTCCTCTGCTGACTGAGTGTCACATCTCACTCTGTAGAGACTGTCCCTAACCAATGTAAAATGTGAATATGTCTGCGCTGCATCAGGGCGGACCAACTGACCATCAGTTTTTAAATCAAACAGAGTATTGTCACAAGACTGCTCGAGTGGAAAATCTTCCATGGAGTGCAACATGGGAACCTGTGGAACCTCTTGCGGAGCACCATAGGTTCCCCATCCCCCTCTGCAGTGCCTGACAAAATCAGGTCACCACTGAGCACAGCGTACATATCCAATGTCTCTACAGGTCGTGAGCGCACCCCACCACACTTCCCCACTAATCTATTAAACCCAAAATCATGGGCTACATCAGACGGGAACTAACTGCGGCCTTTTTCGAACGGCACAACCGGATATCTGTGAACATCCCAGTGCACACACTTAATATCCACCCATGATGCCTCCACCAAAGCCCCGGGTCAAACTGGATTCTGATGAATTATAGACCGAATACAGCCTGAATCCACCATTGCCTGATGTATACCCCCTTGAATCCTTACCAGAACACTGTATGTCCCTCCTGGACCAGGGGAGGGTGTTGGTGGGCCAGCAACCCGGATCACTTGACTGACCTCCATGAGTGGGCACTCCCTGCGGAAG